AGAGTCTGCTAGCCCCTGAACAAGAGGAGCCGCCTGAAGACACATTGACTTCCTTTGGGTGGGGACAGCGAGCCCCGGGGCTGTAGGACGATGTGCTCTGGATGCCTGCAGGACCAGGTGAGGGGTGATGTGACAGCAGCCACTGCCTGCCCCAGACAGACACAGCCCTGCGAGGCGTGGAGGAGGCAGGCAGCATGCCCTGCAGCACCAACCCCAGCTGGGCCCGGGCACCCAGGGCTAAGCAAAGGTGTGCCAGGGGCTGCATGAAGCTGCAAGGCCAGCTGAAACATCTATGTTAAAAAACAGGCAAATGTAGGGGGACGGGGCTGTGGCACAGCGGGTTGACACCCTGGCCTGAAGCACCAGCATCCCATGTCGGGGCCAGTTTAAGACCCGGCTGCTCCACTTCCGATCCAGCTCTCTGCTGTGGCCTGGGAAAGCAGTAGAAGATGGCCCAGGTCCTTGGGCCCCTGCACCCATGTGGGAGACCCGGAGGAAGCTCCTGGCTCCTGGCTTTGGCCGTTGCAACCAAGTGGGGAGTAAACCCTCAGATGGAAGACCTCTCCCTCCCTCTCTCTCTCTCTCTGTCTCTCCCTCTCTCTGTGTAACTCTGACTTTCAAATAAATAAATCTAAAAAAAAAAAAAAAAAAAAAAAAAAAAAAAACACAGGTAAATGAACAGGTAAACGTGAAGGACAGCGTGCTTGCCTCCCTGGCCGGAGGCTGCTCAGGCACCCGGGAGACCTCACTGTCTTTTGCCTACAGGGCGCCGTGGGGGCAGTGTGGGAAGCACTGATACAGGGCGAGTGGGAAGGGACAGCAGGAGTGGGGCACCGTGTGGCTGCGGGCTGCTGGGAACCACCGCCTCTCGTGTGTTCCCTGTGCACAACAGCAAAGGTAGGTGTACCGGCTCCACTACACAGACAGAAAACCAAGTCCCTGGGCCGGGGAGTGGCTTGCCCTAAACCACACTGCAAGTAAGTTAAGTGGCTGAGCTAGGTTTAAACACAGGCCAAAGCCCCAAGTGCCTCCATCCCTTGAGGACGGGAACACCCCACACCAAACGGTCCAGGGGTGGGCTACAGGCAGGACATCTCTCCACCTCTCTCCCCAGCTTACGGACACAGAGCAAGCGCCCCCTTTATGACAACAGCAGATAACACATGTTGAAGGGCAAAGGCGTGGCAACGAAAAATGGACGGGACAAGGAGTCCAGGACCCAGTGAGTCACGTATCTGAGCCTCAGTTTCCCCATTTGTTGAAAGTGTGTGCCCTCCTTGCCTCCCCCATCAGACCAGGTGAATGGGGCCAGAAATGAGTGCACAAGACACAGAAGGAGGAGACGACAGGACTAACAGGCTGTGTGCAACACGCAAATGGGAATTGGGTCTAAGGCTCGCTTTAGCCAATCATTTCTCAAGTTGCTTTTGAATTAAACACACCACCATCCCCCAGACATACTATAATGATCAGTGGCCATTTAAAAAAAAGTTTCATTGAACTCAGTCTGGCGTGCCTGGGAATAAGCTTGGCAGGACACTGTCCCTCACCTTCACTGCCCTACGACAGAAAACCCTGAGCAGAGCACAGAACTGCCCGGAGTGGCAGACACCTGGCTCAGCACAAGTCACCAGGACTGGGCAGCACTGCGGCATCCCACATGGGAAAGCCCCACTTCTGATCCAGCTCCCTAATGCACCTGGGAAAGCAGAGGCAGGTGGGCCCCTGCCACCTGCAGGAGAGACCTGGGGAGTTCCAGGCTCCTGGCTTTGGTTGGGCCCAGCTCTGGCTGTTGCAGGCATTTGGAGAGTGAACCAGTCAATGGAAGATTTCTCTCTCTGCGTCGTTCGTAAGGGAAAAGCCAGGGCCAAGAGCAGAACAATGTGACCTGGGAGGCATGGTTTGTGAGGGCTGATGCTGAGAGACCTGGGCAGAGATGGGCCAGGTCTTGTTCCCTCCAGCTCCAGGGTGCTCCAGGGATGGGCACCTTGCAGGACGATCAGCCGGAGGAGAGCGAGCCCAGCACACTGCCCCTGCCTTCTCGTCCACGTCTCGATGGCCATCAACGGGGCCACAACCACCATCCCCACGCCTACTGCTTTTCTCCCTCCTGTCTCAGCACCAGGCTTGCGGCCAGCAGTGGGGACTTTGGGACCCAGCCAAGCCTGAATCCATGGCAGGATGTTCAAGGCAGGTCAGCAATATCTGAACAGGACTGACCTGCACGGGCAGAGGGGGAGACCTGGCCACAAACATGCAGTCCCAGGACTCGGGCAAGCAGGAGAGATCCAGGGAACGAACTCATCTCCAAAGGCTCCTTCCAGACCCTCCTCCTCCTTTAGATGTTTAGAAAAGAGACCTAGGGCGGGCATTTGGCACAGCCAGCATCCCATACCCCACAGCGTCTGGTTCGAGTCCCAGCTCCGCTTCTGATCCAACTTCCTGGTAACACAGACCCTGGGAGGCAGCAGGTGCGGGTTCCAGTCCTTCAATCCCTTCCACCACAGGGAGACGCAGATAGAGTTCCAAGCTCCTGGCTTCAGTCTGGCCCTGCCCTGGCTGCTGTGGGCATTTGGGGAGTGACCAGAGGCTGGAAGATCCAGAGCTCTTTCCCTCCCCTTCCTGTTCTTTCAAATAAAATAAATCTTAAAATAAAAAAAAAAAAAACAGACCCAGTTTCTGACATCTCCATTCTCACCCTCTGTACAACAGATGTGACAAGTGTTTACTTCCAGATGGATCACAATGTGACCACGGTCAGTTTATCGGAAAGGGATTTTCTTCGAGCCTCCATTAGCTGGATGTTTCGAGTGAGAGATGCGATTTTTAAAATCTCTCTTGGCCGGCACCGCAGCTCACTAGGCTAATCCTCCGCCTGCGGCGCCGGCACCCTGGGGTTCTAGTCCCGGCTGGGGCGCCGGTTCTGTCCCGGTTGCTCCTCTTCCAGTCCAGCTCTCTGCTGTGGCCCGGGAAGGCAGTGGAGGATGGCCCAAGTGACTGGGCCCTGCACCCCATGGGAGACCAGGAGAAGCACCTGGCTCCTGGCTTCAAATCGGCGCAGCACACCGACCGTGGCGGCCTTTGGAGGGTGAACCAAAGGAAAGGAAGACCTTTCTCTCTGTCTCTCTCTCTCTCACTGTCCACCCTGCCTGTCAAAAAAAAAAAAAAGTAAAATCTCTCCAAGTTTCAGCACTGGAACGGAGAGGTGAGCTTTCGGTAACTGCTGTAACAGGCACCTGCTCTCCGACGGTCTCTGCACCTCTCCTAAGCACAGCACAGACGCGGCTCACTGCCACCGTCCGCCTCTTCCCACAGCAGGCAAGGGCAGGAAGGAGAGGAAGGGAGTGGTCAGGCATCCAGAACTCGGGGCTCTGCTGTGTCCTTGGCTTGACGTAAACAAGTTGATTTTAAAAATCTCACTCAGGAAACCGTGTCCCACAGGGGCGTGCTGGACAAGATGAGAACTTAGCCACTCCTTTGGGTGACCCCCGGAGGGAGAGAACCTCCTTCATCAAGACCTGGAGAGTGCTCAGGCCTCCCTAGGACTTGTTTGCAGAGAGCAGACTCAAAACTGACTCAAAGAAGTCCTTGTAGCTGACTTCCTGTCGCGATCCACTCGGTCTCTGTTTCAGAAAACAAGTATTTGGCTGAAGCGCACGGATGCTGAGACCTGGGTCAGCTCAGTGATCAACCATGTCTCTGCACGCAGTCCCAGTGCCTGCAGGATGTCCCTGTTGCCCGGGCAAAGCCACAGCACAGGCACAGAACAGACACAAGCACTGGGCTTGGAGTCAGGGGATTCTGGGGGCGAGCACAGCAGGTTCACCCCTGGTTTTGTGGCACTCACTACCCGGAGAACACACTTAAAATAGCGAAACACCAGCACCCACCCTGTGACTCTGGACAGACCCGCAGACTCAGAGCCCCAACCCTGGCCGTGAGTGGGGACATTTGCCGCAGCCTTGCAATGCTCCAGGGAGAATTAGCAAGAAACCCAAGTCTGCCCCAGGCTGTCTGTATCTGCCCCCCTTGTCTTTGTCCCACTGTCCCCTCCCCAGCTCCCTGCTGCCAGTATCTCCACCACGTGCCCAGCACCACCCCCCACTGCTGCCCACCCTCCCGAGCTCAGCCCAGGGCCCTCCCCGAGCCCCCTGCCCCGGGGGTCTTCATGCATTTCATCTGCCAGCCTCCACGTGAGCCACCACCCTTCGAGCTCCATGAAGGCTGCAGAAGCTCTGCTGCTCCCTTTGACCAAAATTTCCTAAAGGACAACAGTGGACAAGGGAAGTGGGCAACACGCGTGAAGCACAGCGCAGGCACACATGGAGAACCCCCCATCAACGTCTGTCTCTGGGCGTTTCAAACAGAAGTGAAAATTCTGCAGGTTTTTCCACTCTGCCTCTCTGGGTGTCCCTGTGGCACTAAACACCCGCTACTCAGGCTCTCTGCAGCCGGCCGCCGCCCCGGGCCTCTGCCGGGGGACTCCGGGGTGGGCTGGCTCAGGGGTCCTGACGCCCCCGCCCCACCCTGGTCCTGCTGGCTGCAGAGGCCCCCTCTGCCAACGCCCAGCCCAGCTCCCTGCCTTTTCCAAATTAGCGTCCACACTGAAGACAACACTGAAATGATGCGCCACCAGCACCGGCATCTCACTCTGAGCCGACACACACGCCCCGTATGAAGCTGGGGCGAAGAAACACGCTTACGTGGTGACAGAGCGGCGCGTGATGACCTCTTCTCCCAACACTGGCAAGCGGGATCGCCGTCACCTCGTGATGACACAAGGGCTCTCGGCTGACTCCGAAACTCTCACGCCCAAACTCGGAACCCAAGCTCTCCCCTAGGAACAGCCCCAAGCGTTCACTTTACAGTTTTAAAAAGAGCTGGAGATTCATCTTGGGTAGGGGTATCCCTACCCCAGCTGCCAAGCTCCTCCTTCCCAGGGTGGGGGGGGCAGGCCCAGTGGCAACTCACTCCAAGGGCTGCCATCTCCCTGGGCTCACCGTCCTGCCTCTGCCGACCAACTCCAGCCCAGCCATGGCTTCCGGAGACCCTGCCGCAGGTCCGCGTCCACACATCCCCGGCCTCCTCCTAGTGACTCCTTCACCCCCACGCCTGCTAGGATCTGCCCTGCCCCACCCCTCAGGGGCTCTGCAGCAGGCGCGGGGACACCGTGTGCACGGTCCAGACTACCACTGGGACTTCTGGGAGCAGTGCCAGGCGTGCCGCCCCGTCAGAGGGACAACACCCCCTACCCTCGGCTTCCCGCACTTGCACTACAGGATGTGGTCAGTGATGTGCCAGCACCGTGACAAGCAGCGCGGTGCAAGCACCCCCAGGATCACAGAGGAGACCAGGAACGTTGTCCAGCAGCTCGTAGATGTTTATCTTCTATGGCTATTTTCTGGCCAGTAATTTACATTCCAGAAGACTGGCATCTTGCAGACTGACTCAGGCTAATTTGCTCAGCGATCAGTGTTGGTTCTTCAAGAGCAGTGCCAAGTGCTTCCTAGGAAGCCGCCCCGCACGACCTCAGACCCCACGGGGCCCCAAGAGACCATCTCACTCACAGCCCCAGGCAATCCGCCCAAAAACCGCAAGGCTGAGTTTCAAGTCTGATCAACAGGGCAGCTGAAGAATTTCAGTGTCCAGCGATTAAGCCTACAAAACTCCAAGCCTACAGCATCAAGCACTTTGGGGAAACAAAGTTAGAGAAAAGAAGCTAAGATCCCTGCTGCCCTGGGGAAGCTGGGTGTTCAAATTTCATTAAAGGTTGTGTGGAAGCATGTAAAGTGAAAGTGATACAACGAAGCAATTATGCAGATCCGGATGTCAGAGCTCCCAGAACCTGCGCCTCAATTAGGAAAGAACTGAAGCAAAAAATGAGCATATGGCCAGCTCCGGGAATAGCTGCCCCAAGCTCTCACCTCCTCCAGGGACGGCGGGGCCACAGCCAGTCCACTCTCCACAGCTGAGGGGTCTCCAGGCTGCTTACTTCGGGGCAGGGTGTTGGCTACAAGCACGGGGTCATCCAGGGACTCCCGCCCTGGCTTCACGACCTGACACTAAGCCCACCTCACTTTCTCCCTGAAAAATAGGGGTGCACATGGTAACACTGCGTCTATTGCAACCACAGGGAGGACTGTGAAAGTCCAGCGGAAGCGCTGAGCTGGGCGCCGAGTTCCAGAACAGTCGGCAGCTATCCTGCTTTGCCCCTTCTCACTGTCACTCCCACTGTCACCTGCACTTGGGTCTGTCTAGAGCCGCACGGGGGTCTGCCTCCGGTCGGTGCCACGCAGCTCTGTCTGTATTCTGGCCTCTTCTAGAAGCCTGCATCACTGAGATGCCTTGGAAACGCAAGACTTCGCTGCTACGAGGGCTGATCCTTCACATTCTAGCCCAGAGAAAGACTGAAACGCCCACATTTGAATACCTCCTCGGTCTGCTGAGAAAAGCATCGTTAGGATCTCATAAAAAATTCCACTTTCATCACCTGCCTTAATATTCCTGCTCTCAAATAAAAAAAAAAATCAGAGGAAATGGTTACTTTTAAAACGAAACCTTGTCTCAGAATAGCTGCAAAGCGTTCGATTGTAAGAAACTCACATTCAATGCTAAAGCCGGATCATTTTTATTTCACAATGTTGAGTCTTATATTCTTTGGGCCCCGAGCTCACAGAGAGTGCAGGCAGCTGACCCAGGGCTGGGAGGCAGGTCTCCCAGGGCTTGGCCCGGGGCAGGCAGGAGCAGGACAGGGCTGGCAGTGGGCAGCTCTGCTTCTCAGAGGTGAAGACAGCAGCCCCCGGGGCTGCACGGCATCCGGGGGCTCAGCACCACTCCCCACGGCCCTCCCCAAAGAGGCGGCAAGTTTGTGCTACAAAGTGGCCAAGTTACAGACTCCCACAAACCAACAGCCCACTGAGTTCCCACACCCTGCAACGCTCCCAAATTCAGATGCGTCCAGCTCAATCCTGCAGGTTCAGCGCTAGGACAAATCAATGCCACCCAGACCGTAGATGCAGCCAGCAAATGCGAATGTCTTGCAAAGTTCAAGTCGCTGCTGTATTCAGATTCCCTACCCGGTCGGCAGGGATGAAAAAGGGGGAAGGAGCAATACCATGGGAATCAGGAGGCCTGGCCCTGGGCTAGGGCACGGTTGTCCAGGGTCCCTAGTAAGTTCCAGGGTACCCCCACCCCAACAGTGGCGTCAACGTCAAGGTCACTGAGCATCGAAGGATAGTGTAGGACAAAGATGAACAAGCAGAGCCTGTGCCCTGACAGGCGGAGACGGCTGGGAAGTCACGAGTCTGTGGTTTCGGGTTGTAGAAATTGGAGTCGCTCACTGCAAACAGGAGCCGCAGAGCAGCCAAGCTGGGGCACACCTGGACACAGAGGTCAGCCTGTGCCTGGTCTCCCCGCCGGCCAGCTCAGCCCTGCCAGAGCAGACCCCAGCCCTCCAGAGGGGAACACAGACTTTTCTCTCTGCCTGCCGTCCACATTTCCTGTCCCCCAGGCCTGACCAACCAGGACGTACACATGAGGGTGCACAGTGAAATTCAACAAGACGCTCCAACACAGACATCCCCCTGAACGGAAGGCCCAGCGCCCCCCCCCCCCAGCTGGGGGGACTTTGCCCGAGGGTCCTGTTTCCTGGGAGATGTGAGAATGGTGACGTCACCAGCACGCTGTCAGCAAATGACGGAGGGCGGCCCTGTGAGTGCGGTGTCAGAGAAGAAATCTGTGCACCTGCCACGCTGGCTCGCGGCCATCCGCATGGTCAGCGTCCTCCAGGAGACAGCTCCTGGAACTCAGAGGAAAACCTGGACTTTGATGTTCAGAAGAAAGCAGGATAGCTCAGCCCACTCCCAAGCCCACAGCCCACAGCCCAGCACTGGAGCCGCCTCGCTTCGGGGTCTGCTTGCATGCAGGAAAGCCCGGAGGCCTGGGGGCTCGCCCAGTTCTCCCTCCAGGCTTAGCAAAAGACACAAACAAGGGCGTTTGTCCGAGTAAGTCTAGAGGCCGGTTAAGGTGCCTGCACCCCACGGCAGAGTAGCTGGGTTCCAGGCCCTGCTCTGGCTCCCGACGCCACTTTCCCACTAACGCGGTCCTGGGAGAGAGAGGGGACGCCTCCAGTGACGAGTCTCCTACTACCCACATGGGAGACCTGGATAGCATGCTGGGGTCCCCCGGCTATTGCAGTCATTTGGGGGTGAGCCTGTGGATGAGAGAGCTCACTCTCTCCCTAAATCTCAAATAATAAATTTTAAAAAAAATTTTAAGGACTAAACTGGAATGCTCACAGCTATCTGTAAAGCCTAACTAGAAATCACGCAATGCCTACCCACCCCAGGAGAGGTAAAAACACTCTAAGCTGGCAAACAAACAACTCCAGGGCAGAAGCCCACAAAGTGCTGAGCACAAGGGCGCAGGCAAGAGAGAGCCTGCAGCAGGGTCCCAAGCACCTCCAGCTCAAAACCCAGGCAGCACACGCCAGCCTCTGGAAGGCAGGACGGTGCCTTCCCTGGGGTGGGGCTGGGAGCTAGGGATCCGGGAGCGGCTCATACCCGACCTCGGGGCTGGCTGGCGGGCGAGTTCTGCTCTGGAGAAGCAGCGCACTGTAGTTTCGACAAATGTTCGTTGAGGTCCGTGCGTTATCCTCCAATTTACAAATGGTTCATACAGTGGTCAGCACTGTTGACCTCTGCCTCTGTACCCGCATCCCGTATAAGCACTGGTTCCACCCCTGGCTACTCCGTTTCCAATCCAGCTTCCTGCTAAGCACCCAGAAAAGCTGCAGAATGGCCCAAGTGTTTGGGTCCCTGCATCCACCTGGGAGACCCAGATGAAGTTCTAGATTTCTGGCTTCAGTCTGGCCCAGCCCTAGCTGTTGCAGCCATTTGGGGAGTGAATCAACAGACGGAAGCTCTCTCTCCCTATAATCGTGCCTTGCAAATAAATAAATCTTTTTTCAAAACGGGTTAAAAAAATAAAAAAGGCGAGATGGGTTGTACAAGGGTAGATACAGGGCCGTGAACGTGAACTTGACCCAGCTGGGACAGTCCAGCCCTGGGGCCTTGACTGCACAGCAAATTTCTCCCACCAGAACAACGCCCATTTCCTCCCAGAGGCCTCCCAGAGGCGCCAAAGCAAAGCCTCCTCTGTTCGTGCATTTAAAAATGGTTCACGGAGCTCCAAGCCACTTAGGGCTTATTTTACAACCCAGCTCGCAGCCGGCCGGCCGATGACCTCCAGTCGCTGGCGTCTCAACAACTCCTCCTGCATGGACTCAGCCACGGGGCTGGTGCAGCCACCTGCAGCCCGGGCACACGCAGGGCTGGCTGAGGACCAAGGCGGGGCTCTCAAAGGGACGTGGCCCACGCGGTTTTTCAGCTTCTTTACTTTACTTCCTAAGGGAACCGCCGGTGCCACGCACAGCCCTGCCGCCCACCCCACCCCAGGCCCCTCCCGGGTCACAGCTGCAGGGCCATCGCCCCAGCTGTGGCCATTATAAAGTCTCCACTTTGCAAGCTGCTTCCAGAGAATGTCTCAAATCTCCCGATGGAGGAAGAAACATGTCAGTCCTCGCGATCCTAAATGCTGGCCAGGGATGCCCCACGCCCCTGGAGGCAGTAGGCAGCAGGTACTAAACGCATAAGGAAACTCTAAAGAGTGTGGGGAAAAGGGAATTAAGAGAAATTTATTTCAGTGCAAAAACACTTTGAAAGCCCTGCATACAAGGGGTTTTTGAAAAGTTCACAGAAAATGCATATTATGAAAAATCCATGCATGGATTTAAAAAAATGTTTGTACCGAAATAAATTTATCATTTTCTTTAAAAATCTATTTAATTATTTATTGGAAAGGCAGGCCTGAAAAGGAAGAGCTTCCACCCACTGGTTCACTCCCCAGATGACCACAATGGCCAGGGCTGGGCCAGGCCCACACCAGGAACCTGGAACTCCATCCAAGTCTCCCATGTGGACGTGAGGGACCCAAAGCACTTGGGCCATCTTCCACTGCTTTCCCAGGCGCATTAGCAGGGAGCTGGATTGGAAGTGGAACACCCAAGACTCAAACAGGTGACCACGTGGGATGCTGGCCTCGCAGGCAGTGGCCCAACTTGCTGTGCCACAGCACCAGCCCCATGCTGGTCTTTTCATTCCTCTTGTCCATGAACTTCGTGAAGTCCCCTCACCTGACTGCAGGGGGCGCAATCTGGGGGGAAGGCAGGGGCCGGGTCAGGGTGGAAGGGGCCTGCCAGCTGTGTAAACCAATCCCGTCTCCAGAAACAAGGATTCTAGCACATTCTGAATCTTACAAAAAGAGACACACCGGCCCAGGCGCCTCCCTGGGGAACTGGGTCAAGTGCAGACACCACTGGCGGCAGACTCTGCCTCTCCAGGGGCACCTGGGACCCCCTGTATCCCGCTCTGCCTCTGGAGTTTCCTTAAGGCCCCTGTTGTCCCCAGGCTTCCTACACCCCTGCACCCACGAGCTCCATCACCCCCACACACCCCCACACACCCCATGAGACTCAGCTGACAAGGAGCATTCCACCGCATCCAGCCCCTGGACCCGAAGCTCTGACCGGGCAGGGCCTGCGTGCATCTGCCCACCCGACTCCCAGCAGCCAGCGCCGAGTTCCTTGTCTGTGCCCCTCTCTGATCATGGCTTGCCAAAGCCGACACAAGGGCACCCCACACACCTGGCTGACCCTAAGTACTTCGCTGCCCCACCTCAACGTCTCCCATGGCGTGGGGAGAACTGAGCACACCCGTGGTCCTGGACAAGTTCACTGGGCTCGACTCGCCCCCGCTGCAAGTCTCCTGCCCCCTACCAGTCCTGGCTGGACAGGCCCGCAGGCAGGTCAGAGTGACTCCCTTTGATCTTGCTAGTTTCCTTGCACAACAGGACACTAAGGACGCCAACTGGCCAGCCCTGTGTAAACCCAGATTCCCCAGAGTGCAGCTGTGCTAGGCACAGGGGTCTGGGGTGGGGGGGTGGCCAGACACACAAGGCCCCTGCCGCTGGGGAGGGGACCGGTTTTGCAGAGGGGCCAGGTGGTCCCTGTTCCTCCCATTGTCTCTTTTGTAGATTCCCTGTGACAGATTTTAAATGAGCCTTGTTATTCCGGCAAGCTCAGACCCCCACATCCGGGAACACAAACATCCTGGGGTACTTTCGGCATTATTGTCATGCAATGATTGTGGCTATCTTAACTGGGAAAATAAATAACAGCAGCTTCCGCCTGCAGGTGCCAGCTTCCTTCTCTGCTGAAGGAGTGAAGTGCTGGCTGACCTCCCCACCACCACCGCCACCATCAGGGCATCCGATTCCTCACAGCCCAGGTACAACACAGAGCTCCCTCTGCCCGCAAGAGCAGTGTGGCCTCCAGGGCAGCCGCTTCCTGTCCTGCTTTCTCTCCCCAGCCGGGCGTATGAAAGCCAATTTCTCTCTTTCTTCAAGTGTCACAGCCCCATTCAGAGCGGCAGCTCGGGACAATGAGAGGAGAGCGGAGCGCCCTGGCTCCCTCTGAGCCCGCATCTCCAGCGGCCTCTGTACAAACTGAGGACAAAGGCAGGAAAACCTAGAGGCACGGAACCGCTGGCTCCCCCGCAACCCTGCCCTGCAGAGACCCGGCTCCCTGTATGTATTCTGAGGACAGCTTCAACCCCCTCCCTCCCCACCCCCACCCCAGAAAGTCACCTTAATCCTCATTCAGCGGCCCACTCCCATTTAAAACTTGAACAGCCCTGGCTGTCCGTAGCTGGAGCGCCCCCCCCCCCCCATCACTTTGGCAGCCAGCCCTGGATTCTACTCCGCCTTCTCCTCTGGCTTCCCAGAGAAAACCGGCACCCGCTGAACACAGACAAGTCTGGGCTCACCCCATGCTGAGACAGAACCAAGACTCAACACAAAGGGGCAGGGGCGGCCCTGAGCTGCATTTTGCTTCCCCCACCCCACCCCGAGATGTGTGGCGCCCTCACCCTTAGGCTTTGCAAGCTGGCATTCTCCACGACCCTGAAATGACCAGGGTGACCCACAGCGTGCCCAGAAACCCTGGGGCCCCTCCGGGGACTGGGGTGGGAGGGGCAGAGGCCAAGCAGGAGACGTCAGAGGTGAAAGGCCACGGGAGATGGGGCTCTTCCTCTCAGAGCGGGGACACAGGGGCACAAACAGAGACACACGCTGAGTGTCAGCCGTCCACACCCTTCAGGGAAACAGCACCAGGCTTGAGGTTCATTTTCATTCACTTCCTCTCTCTCTCTCTCTCTCTCTCTCTCTCTCTCTCTCTGTCTCCCCCCACCACCACCTCCCCTCCCCCTCTCTCCCAGGCTTCTGTATCCAGGTCTCACCTTGCAGCTGTCAAATGGCTGAGCTGTGTTGCAGTTTGGGGCCTCTCCCACTCTGAAGCGCTCAGAGATACATTGTTCCAGGTCCCTGCTGTGCGGAACCTAAGCTGGCTGCGTGAAAACCCACCCCAAGACAGGAACACGGGCCCCACATGTGGGTCCGGCTCAGCCAGCGTTTCCTAAGCGTGTCCTTGGGTCAGGCACCCTGCTAGACTCCCGGGAGCTCACCCAGGGGACAGTCACAGCAGCCCCCGCCCTTGACCACGTACAACCTGCAGCTTGCATAAGCGGCTCGGATGGGCACCAGATCCCAAAGCCAGCTCCGTGGCGTCCACCTAGGCAGTCACACAGGGAGCCCTGCCCAAACTTTGCATCCCATACTTTGTTTAATCCTCTGCTGTCTCCCGTTGGAGATTCTTAATCATTTTTGCAATAAGGAGCTCACATTTACCTGGTGCACTGGGCCTTGCAAACTACATTGCTGGCCCTGGAGACACATGGAGAGCCATGCAAGTAGGACAAGGATTGCAAGAAGAGCGCATGGGGCCGGCACTGTGGCACAGAGGGTTAAAGCCCCGGTCTGCATACCAGCATCCCACACGGGCACCAGTTCAAGACCCGGCTGCTCCACTTCCGATCCAGCTCTCTGCTACTGCCTGGGAAAGCAGTGGAGAATGGCCCAAAATACTTGGGCCCCTACACCCACGTGGGAGACCCAGAAGCAGCTCCTGGTTCCTGACTTTGGATCTGCATAGCTTCGGCCATTGCAGCCATTGCTGGAAGATCTCTCTGTCTCTCTCTCTCTACCTCTCTGTAACTCTGCCTTTCAAATAAATAAAATAAATCTTAAAAAAAAAAAAAAAACTGGACAGCGTGCACAGCCAGGGTCTCATCTCGTGCCCGGTGGATGTCGCGGCCAGGAACAAACGCCAGAAGTCGCCATGTGTGCCGCAGGTCCCGGCTCCTCACTGGTCTGTGCAGGGGCCCTTCCAGGACCGCTTCAGAAAGAGAACCAGAAGCTTCCGCTCTGTCCCAGGAGTGAGGTTTAGCAAACGTAGTTTCCACGGGCCTGCTTGTCCTCACTCTGATCTGTAACCGAATCTGATGATTGAAAAAACCTGGGGCCCTTTCATTCCTCACGCTAATGCAATTGCACATTCATGCGGAAGCCGGGCCAGCTCCCAGGCGCTGGGCAGGAGGCGCCCGCGGGAGATTGGCAGCTGAAACTCACACTCTTCCCGCCCCTGTAGACGGGGAAATCTCCACCTTCGCCCAGCCACGCGCTCTGTCTGCACCCCGAGGAGAAAGTCACGCCTTCCACGGCACCCTGCTCCGTTGGTTTTTACAACTCACTCCAAGCCTGTGCGGCTTAAGCGCCACTTACACACGAGCTGCATTTTAAGCTTCCTCTCAGCGAGATGCAAAATCAATCAGATATGCGTGATCACATGGAGGGCGGGGTCTCACAATCAATGCTGCTGCCCCTGGGGCCCAGCAGGAGCAGCTCTGCCCAGTCCTTGGGTGGTGAGAGCAGGTCCTGACCCCAGGGCAGGTGCGCGGTGGCTCACTAAGTGGGGCCATCACACCTTTAAGAAATCAGTTTGGGTCAGGCTGAAAGGCTTGCGAGAGCATTTCAGGCATGGAAAGCCAAGACCATGACAAAAAAATATCCTACACAGAGGATCCCTGTGAGACCTCAGAGGAAAGAAAGGGTCATCACAGAAGGAGACACTCTTCTCTGAAGGGAGAGGAGAGCGTCCACTTTGCTTATGGCCGTGTCCAAATACCAACGGAGTCTATGGTCACAAAAGGCCTCCATAGCCTTGGCAGCCCATGGCAAGAGCCTCGGATGACCAGTGACATCATAAAAAAAGAGTGTTAATTGTTAAAGGAACAACAGGAGTCACTGTGCACTTGCTCCCCAGGTAGGACCTCTGTCCCTACTGAATTGTAATATGAGAATCGACTGCAAAGTCTCTCCCCAAACTGTAATCTATATGTTGTGTATGGGCATTGGTGCAAATTGTTGAAGTCT